TTATCTAATTTGTTTTTAATAAAATTTTAAATGATTTTGTTATCTTTATGAGTTTATTCAATTTATTTCCACTTCTCAATTGGGTGCAACGCGATTGCATTCGGTTGCCCCGCGGTTCAATAACAATGGTCATTATTTGTCCATTACAACATTTACATTGTCTCTTTCAAAGTGTTTTAAATAATATTAAAATCAAATTCAAACACATATTATTTACCTACTATAGACTTCTAAAATTTATACTGACATCTACTAATAGGTGTTAATAAATGACAGCATTAGGCTTAGGCTGTGTTTGGCGAAAAATAGCATTGTTAGAATTTGCTAGCAAAATGGCGATTGCCATGGTATCTCTAGACAACCACGTGATGTTGTTGTTGTTGATGATGCATTTAATTTTTTTTAATGTAAGAATTTCCTAATTCACATCAGTTTAATTCATGAAATTCAATATTAATTTACTGCATGACATAATTTAATTTAATAAGTTGCACTTTCATGCAATAATGTAGATCTATGAATAATAAATTATTGCATGAAAGTGCAACTGGCTGAAAGGTCATTAGGTGAATAAAATTGCAACATTTTAATTATATTTTATTTATAACCAAAGTACATTATCATAAATCACAAAGACTTAAACTAGTTATTTACAATGCATCGAATAGATGAAATTGAGCAAAAATGCAATCTTTTACCAACATCACTTCCCAGAATTACTGCCACCAATATTATCGAATCTCCTATTTTGACAGTAATGTTCTATTTTAATAATTTATTTATCACAAAATATGACCACCAACAAACTGCCTTCACATTACTTAAAATACGGTTTGAAGTTAATGCTGCGCAAAAATGTTTTGGATTCAAATACCGTTATCAAATTAGGAACAATCAAAAACCCCACCTAATTGTCTCTTCATTGTTATTGATATCTTTTTAAAGTAGGTAATATCTACGTATTTAGAAATATTTTTTTACTTTCGTTGTCACATTTGGCAACATTTAGGGTGAGTTTTAAACTTCGAATTATATGCAGCGTTAAAAAATGTCCACTGTATAGTCTATTCATGTTTGGCCTTTATTAAATAAGTATAGTAACTTCCTTAAAGAAAGAGAGTTTTGGGAACGTAATGGTGCCTATGACACGACCTTTGGTGCCCGTTTCCTGGGTTCTAGACGGACTTTGAAACCTTCTGCTCTCTTCAGGATGATGTCAGCTTGGAGGTTGAAGTCTGACTCTTTCAGGTCGGAGTGGACTCTGAAGTTTCTTAGGATGGTGGAAAGGATGATCTTCAACTTCAACATGGCGTATTTACGACCTGTTGGCAAAAATGTCTAATTAGAAAAATATTTAAGCTTTACTACCTAATAAGGAATTTTGTAGATATGTTATGTAACTAAATTCATTGGTTGCATAAACCATAGATAATGTTTTATTACAATATCTATTTAAAAGTTCTATAAAAACATCATCAACAATAAATACCTAATATAAAGTTTCACTTTCAATTCACTCACCTACACAACTCCTGGGTCCAGCGGAGAACGGTACGAAGGCATAGTAGTGGCGATTAGCTGATTGTTCTGGCAGGAAGTTGTCTGGGTTGAACTTCGTTGGGTTGCTGTATACGTCAGGCCGGCGGTGCAGCTTGTATGTGGCGATAATTACAGTGGTTCCAGCTGGTACTTGCTTTCCACATGACGCTGTTTAAAAAATAAATCAGTCAGGAAAAGTAAATTTAATGGTTCAATTTATGCATAATAGACGATGCGTCTTTTAATGTTTGTTCTATAAACTCTCTACTTACGTAGCGTGATATCCTGCTTGAGGTGACGAGCTATGATCGGCACTGGAGGGTACATCCTCAGAGTTTCCATCAAACATCTTTCCAAATATTTCATTTCTAGTGTGTCTTGGAAGGTAGCTGGACGGTCTGAGTCTCCGAAGATCTGATCCAGCTCCTCAATCACTTTGTCTTGAATGTGTTGGTGGATTCCCATCATAGATAGGAAGAAACTACTGCCAGCGGCAGTGGTGTCGTGACCCTGAATAAATAATTTTTTTATTAAGATGTTCTTGCAAAATTAATATTTAGTATGCAAACAATATTGCAAACTTTAGAATTCAATCTTACCTCAAACATAATAGTGTCGACTTGCTCCTTAATTTCTTCATCAGTAATGACGACACCGCTCTGCGAACTCTCTAACAGTAAGTCAAGGAAAGCAAGACGCTTCTTCTGTCCTACGTCGTTGTCTTCGACGTCCAAGTCATCCTTGAGACCAGCAGATTGTCCAAAGGATAGACCTTCTACAGACGTGGTCTTGGCTGTAGGAATTTCAGTGGTTGTAGGTTCAACAGTTTCTGTTAAGACTGAAGGTTTCTTTCCAGCTTGGAATTCTTCCTTCTTCCTCTTTATAACCTGAAGGAATAAAAAGTCGTTAATTTATGTAGTTATGTTTACGAAATAAATTCCTAACCAGAGGGGAGCTATACAGGTAATAGTAAATAATAAAACGTTACATACTCAAAGGATAGCAGTGTGGCTGATAATAATAGTAATAAATCAACTACGACTAAATCTGCCATTTGAATATTCTATACGGGTGCAAATCTATTTGACGCAAGTAAAAATTTACATAAATTATGGTTTAAACCTGAATGGCAAACTGATGATTCTTTAAACCCATCAAACACGTAGCTAAGGTTACTATGCTAGGATTACCTTCTTGGTCAATCCATGAATGACGTCAAGGAGTTTCGTTTGGCTTTTGGCGTACTGCGTGAAGTTGAACAAGAATTCCGGTCTCAGCCAGATCTTGGTGTGTCTCAAGTGAAGGATGTCGCACATCTTCATCACGGCCATCGCGTACTCAAACCCGCTCTGATCTTGAGTGCTCTTGCTAACGCCCATGGCAGTTTCTGTAACACATAATGAACTATTATAATCACTGGTTTCATGACTCACATTAAAAAAGAAAGAGCTATTAACCTCCATAGTATTCAAAGTGGTTGAGTAACGTGGAGCGTAACGTGACAGCACCGCGTAACATTCTGTGCCCGTTGATGGCGAATATTGGCCATTATCAATACGTGTGTCGTGGGAGGTCGCCAAACTCATTTCAATACTACGTGTCATCAACAAATGATTCAATAACTACCGTACTTCTTGTATTATGAGTTAAGCAGACCCACCACGATACGGGCCTCAACTGATCCAAGGAAACTACATAATTAGCCGTTCCATAAAATTATAGACGTAATACTCGTAGCAATTTAGTGCACATTTCACATTACAACTAAAGTACAGAACTATCATTACTTCAATTATTTCTAACGCCAGTGCTGCGTTTGATGAAAATATTTGCCACCGCGCTGTTCCGCAA